ACGAGAGGGCACCCGAGGTGCGAATGCTTGAACCGAAACTAATATCTGGCGTCGTCGGGTGGACCCAGGGACGTAGTTGATCTTGAACTCCATGAACATCGCCTCTGCCAAAAAGTGGAGTCTGTGTCTGACTAGCACCATAGGAAGAACAAACGGAGTAACGACCAACGTCGTGGAAGTCCGAGGACATTGCTGTGTAAAGTAGGCAATCAATAAAGTAGGAAATCGGATGATCAATACATAGGATAGGAAAGTTTCTTATAGATTAGGGAAATAAAAACTCAAGGTTTAATATTGCATGATCGATACAAGAGGAGTCAGGAATTTAGAAGGTGCACACCACCCGGACCCGTCTAGTAAATAAGTAAAAGTATGTAAATAAATCATACCCGAAACTCCTCGAGATACTCCTTCGCTACAAACTTTCTGCATCGATGAAGTTTCCTGCGCTGTCTCTTGCTCTCTTGACCGTTGTTGACAAGTAGTTGTATTTCCATCTTCGTTGGCGTCCCTTTGTTCTCCCGCATCTCCATCATCGGAGGTCTTCTGATTCTCTAATAGAGCCATCAATTTCGCTGTGAAATCGGGACCCACTTCCGAAGACCTTTGCTGATGTACTACTTCACTACGACGAGGACCTTTAGTACGCATTCTTTTCGACGCAGAAGAAGAACCACTGCTTAGAGCATTTCTTGTATGTAACTCATCCTTGTTCTGTAGCCGTTCCGTGTTCATAAGGTTGAGGACAGGCTCTCTTTCGAGATGATGACCGATAATTCCACTGTCCTGTTCGCTCAGACTCTTTTTATTCGGCGATCGCATCTCAACAAGACTAAATATCTCTTTAGAAAAACTACTGGGCTTCTCTTTTCTCCTTGAAGACGCGGATCTTTCACCACCGCCAACATGGAAAACGCCAGGTCCCTGCTCGTGCGAAGTAGATGGTCCTCTTCCGGGCTGTACGGGTCCTCTTCCGGTTTCCGAGGATCTAGTCAACATAGACCTCGCAGTAAAGAACTTGTTTGTGTCTACTTTGTGGCTATCCTTGTCGTGGTCAACCTCTCGTGTAGAGACCAGTTGTAGTGTCATTGTCTCGCCACCAAGCGTATCAGGAGTATAGAAAGATGAAGAAGCACAGGCCGCAGGTTCAATCGCCTGTGCACAAGAACTCGAATACAAAGTCCTCGCAGATGTACTTGTACTCGCAGGATGGCCACTAGCCGCGTCGCCGTCTGGTGACGGAAGACTGACACGCAACATGCTTCCTGTTGACGCACCGTGATGTTGATCCAGAGTACCACCTGCACCGCTCGCAGTTGCACGACCTCGTCTTTCTACAGCCGCTCCTCCTGGTGCATCAGTACCTTCATCAATTTCGCAAGACCACGGAGCCCCCCTGTTGCTAGTATTGCTATTGCGGAGGTTACTAGCCCGCTTTGAACTGGATGAATCCTTCGCATCAGGTTGAGGAGAAGACACCCTCAACCTGTTATCTGCAAAGGACATCATTGTTCCACTAGGAATCAATGAACCTCCTCCTGTCGCGTAAGCAGGTCCTGTTTGTGCAGCTCCTTTTGTCCTAGTAGCAGCTACTCCTGTATTAGAGGTAGGTTTTTGGTGCTCGCTTACCCCGCTTTTTATGACTTTCTCCCTTAGGAGAGGCATAAAAAGCGGTAAGAAAAGCACCTTTAACCTACCCTTAACTGTACTAATATCTCTACTTGCTTTATTGAGACCGCTAGAAGAAGAAGAACTTCGACCATGGTGCGCAGACAGTGCAGCGGAGGACGAAGAGGGGTCGCCGACGTCGAAAGCAAACTTGCGCATTGGCGCAAGTGCTGTGCAAGATGATGGACCTGGATTGCTCGCCTGAGAAGAACCTGTAGTGTTGTTCCGGTGATGCGAGCCACGCGTCCCCCGGCTCTTCATTGATATTGTGGGCGGCAAATGAAAAGAACTCGAACTGCTACTGGGTCCACCACCTCCACCACCTGCGTGTAAATGAAAAGAACTTGAACTGCTACTGGGTCCACCACCTCCACCACCTGCACAAGATGATGAGAACGACGCAGCTGCAGTGTAGTTTTGATTCATATAAGTGTTCACGTTCATCGGGTTCCCGTATGAGGAGGATGCACTAGTATTCATCGTGTTCATCGTATAATTTGAGTGATAGGAGGGCGAGGACATATTGTTCAACAACATCGTATTTTGATAATTTGAGTAAGACGAGGACATATTGTTCATGCTCGTCGTGTTACAATTATTGTAGTTCCCCATCGAGATGAGCGTGGTGCTGTTCTGCCCTGCCGTACGAGGCGTCGTGCCACCAAGTGAATACTGGCCACCTGCTCCACCTCCGCCCGTAGAGGCATAGTTCGTTGTCGAGGAGCTTAGACCTGCCCCATAGGTGGATCCTCCACTTGTGGTTGCGAAGTCTCTCGTAGTACCCCCTCCACCACCAGTGAAGACGTAATAATCTCCACCACCCCTACTTGACGAGGAACTGAAGATAGGATCTCCTAAACCATGCGGTGGCGCCGCGCGAGCGCGGTAACTCCGACTATTGGAGAAATTGATCACAGCGCGTCTTGGAGGTTCTTGTTCGACTAATTGCTGGGCATCCAACAAAGATTCGTCAGCCGTCCACAGCTGCCCCGCGGCATTGCTATAGTGCTGCTGATGATGCTGTGTAAAAGTGCTGGAAGGATGGGTGGGGATGCCTAATGGAGGTGCAGGAGGAGGTGCTCCAGGAGGTGCGGTTCCAATGGACGTAGAAGACGTGCCAGTGCTAGCGAAAGGCCCTGCTCCGCCATGTCTTTCTAGCGGTCCTGAGGATGCTTGTTGTGCAGAGGCTAGCAGAGCTGCAGACGAGGAGCTAGATGACGAGGAGCTAGTACAACTGCTACTAGTTGCTGTTCCAACAGCAACATTGGAGGCAGGGACATGACTGGACGAGGAAAGTAAAGAAGCGCCTGGTGGATGCTGAGAATCAAAGATAGCCAGCGTTGTAGTAGCACTTGGGTGAGGCCTCGAAGATGTGCTATGCAAGGAACTAGTAGGACCAGGAAGAGAGATATTCCCACTACTTCCCTGTCTGTTACTGCTCCCCCGCGGCTGCTGTGTGCTAGAGAAGGTTGTTGGAGTGCAGCTCCCACTGCTCCTACTGTTACTACCGGCTTGCTGTTCCACCAAATGATCCTTAGGATAGTTACCACTCGAAGACGACTCCCCAACAAGAACATGCTTGTCGCTCGTACGCCCAGCTCGATGTTGACCTCCTCCTGCTTCTCCTGCTTCATGGTGCTTGCTGCTCGCACTTGCCAATCCTTGCGTGTGACCCCCGTCAGGCCTCACGTGACCACCAGCACCAGTGGACGAGGAAGGACCCTGTCCTTTGTGCCGATCTTGCCTCGCGCCATCAGCACCAGTGGACGAGGAAGGACCCTGTCCTTTGTGCCGATCTTGCCTCCCATTGCCACTATTGGCACGATGACCACGAGACCAGGCTGCGATGTCGTGCAACAGGAAAGAATCACGCTCGAACATCTTGGACTGCTCTGATCACTGTTTAAGTGATCACGACTGTCTCTTGTGAGACAAGTACTAGTTGAGATTATTGTTGAAGATTAAGTGTAGTTCATAGGATAGGATAGGATAGGAGTTAGCTCACCTGCAACAAGGTAAGCGTATAGGCATGACGCGCCATCAATGTAGATAGGAATAGGAGATGTAAAAGTGGTCACACATCCTCCTCGCATACAACTTTCTAGATAGTTTCTTCTAGATAGTAAGAACTTTTTAAGCAACATTATCTTGTTCATCTTTCTGATACTGAGTAGTAGTAGTAGTTTAAGTTAATCACTATTTCAATATGAGAACATTTTTCAACACACTTCGTCACAAACTACCTCAATACGGATAACTCATCACTTCAAGATTATAGAATGTAGTATTATACTACTAACTAGTATATATATAATGCTGATGACCACTACAAAAGAAACGTCGTCCTTCTTCCTGTATCCAGTAGTTATTTGTTCTGGTACATATTGAATCATCACAAGTTGTACACCAGCGCCGCCTTACACAGCAGAAGTGTTCGATAATCATAAGTGCATCACAACATCACAAAAATAGTTCCTATGTATGAACTGAAGAAAACGAAAAACGTTGGAAGATCTCGGTCTACTTACAGGCTGATTCGTCACAGGCGCTTTGTCAACACACACGACCTGCAGCAGCTCCTCCTTCTACTCAGACATAAGACGCGATATTGATTAAGTTGCTTGTTCTGCAAAAGAACTACTTGCAAAATCTTTGTAGCCTATCTCTACCGAAGTGAGTCACAGCTGTCGCAGCTACTTCTATAGCTTTGTGTGCCCAATCACCTCATTGTACTTCCTCGTCGCCCTATTGTTGGATGTGGAAAAAGTAATCCTCGTCGTTGGTGTTAAATCCTAGTGTTGAGTGATGTGTCGAAATAGATGGATGGTGGATAGACGCAAAAGTTATCATTGGTTTACTGGCAATGGTCGCACGCTGCTCAAGCAATCGTAAACAAAGCAACGAATCTCCGGTAAAAAAATTGTGACAAGACAAGACGCTCTTGTTACTACACAACAACCACCACGACCTGCACCACCCGGCTGAAGATTCGAAGTGTAATATGTGCGCAGCAGGTAATGGTCATCTCTTGATTGTACTCAGGGCTTATGGTGCTTTCTTGATTTTATGTTCACTATTTTTGCTATCTTCAGCATAAGAATTCGAGTTGTATGTCTTCTTCTCTAAGAGTTCCTGTAGTTCTTCTTCTTGTATGAAGCGATCACCGAGGACGAAGGATGACATAAATAAATACTAATATTTGTCCATCTCTCCACCAAGATGGGCTTGAAGATCTCTGAAAGAACAAATTAAGGGATCGCTGAACAACAAGCAAAAGATTAGAAGTCCAGTGCAGCAATCCTGAAATGAACTCTGCAAGTTCGACTGCGTCAATCTCCTCAGTAGTACCCTCTGCATATCATTTTCGCTCCTGCTGACAATGAATTACAATTTTGATTTTCGTCGAGCATGGGACTCTGATTCGCATGACGTCAAGGAAAGGAGTTACGCACAACATCTCAGAAGCAAGAGTAGTATTCGTTATCGAGGAAGCTGAATGGAATTTCATCTCCATTTTGCCATACTCGACACTGCTTCGCGAAGCGTGGAGGCTCAGCGTCTGGTCTCAGTATGCTCCCAAGCATCTTCGTTCTTCTGTCACTCCCTATTTGCACTGTTCCTCCGTCAAGAACCAGTTGTCTTTCTTCAACGTCCAAGTCCACCTTGACGAAGTCTTCGTGATCGTAGTTGACGTCGTGCTTAAACGTGGTAGTAGTCATTTCAAGTAAACGCGTTCTGTCCTCGGAAGATGGTGTCGCCTCGTGTCGGGGTAGGGGGTGCTGGTGCCTAGGTGTTGTGTCCTCTACTTCTTGTAGTGCGCCGGGAAAGCTGGTGCTACAAAAAGTTAGAGGCAGCGACTTTTTCGCATTAGTCGGACTAGTGAAAATTGCGCTCAGCAGCCGTAGGATTTCTCTTTGACGTGCCGTCGTCTCCAGGATTTGCTCCTCGCAGTCCGGAGGACCTGAAAGGGAAGAAGTACTAGCGAATCTCCCTCCGAAGAATTCCCAACAATTCTCCCTTGTTGTCTTTGCTGAAAACGGGTGTTTCACGTCGACCGGAACGTTCTCTCTCAGGTATCGCGGCAACCCAGCACGTCCAGTCCAATGCTCTGCTGTCGTTTGCGCTGTTGCTATCAGGTACCCGTGGTACAAAAGCAGACCAAGGAAAAGACTAGCGAAGCCCAGTGCGGTAGATCCTAAAATGCTCCACTCTGTGCACGCAAGGAAAGGGCCTGGACGCGGACTTCGAGAGGAGAGAATATCTCGGACAAGCACGCGACAGGCATGATCTGACGTAGAGGTGGCAGTCCTTGTTGACGTATTTATTGGTGGCGTCATTATTGTAGTTCTTGAAGACGTTATTGTGGCTCCTACTGTGTCATGATGATCTGACGTAGAGGTTGTGTCATGATCTGTAGAGGTCGCGGGAAACAAAATCGCCTGGACGTGCAGGAGACACACGATACTTCCAATGAAGAGGAATATGACGAATCTTCGATGATTACGTTCGCCAATAGAGCCACCAAGCCAAAAGCAGTGATGATCGAAGGTAAGGACGCAATAACCACAGCTTTTACAATGTCTGCATCTTATCGGCTGAAAGTGCTCGCAGTGTTTGCAGTAGCGGTAGCGGTTCAGAAGTGGTCGTAGTTGCGCTCGTTGATCTTCGTTCAACACGTCTTCCTGAATGGGGCCTTCCTTCATCTTGCCGGTAGAAGTTGTCTCCTTCGCGACTCGGCTCTCATCCGCTCCTTCCACACCTAGTGCAGCTGCGATGGGTGGAGAAACTCGTCGACCGCGGAAATAGCCTGGACGCGCTCGGACTGTGACTAGGAGGTAAGCGAACAATCCATGCAAAGCCACCTCCAATAGTTTGCTCCATGTAATAGAGAGGCAAAAGTGAAGTAGAAGGGTAAGGGTAAGAAAGAATGTTTGAGGGACGAGAAGCTTTTTCCTGGAAGTTCTGGTTTCTAGTGGCAACTACAAGTCGTGGTCACTGCTTCTACAAACGATCTCAACCTTCTACTACGTCCTCCAAACGGTCACGGTCTCAACGTTCTTCATAAAAACCTCCTCCGAATCCGAAAGTAGAGCCTTGTTCTCCTCCTCCGCTATTAGACATTCGCCCTAAGCAGGTTCGTAGCTCATACCATACGCCCCAAGCGAAACAAAACGCGGCAAAACCCCAAGAAGATCTAGTGGCACTGTGGACGGTTGGCGGAAGGCCCTTGACATGTGTAGGATCTTCCATGCCATAGAGCTCGTGGAAGAAATTTTCGTGAACGAGCTGGTCTACTGTTCCTTGTAGCTTTTGTTCGTCAACATCATCTGGAGGGATGAACTCGGAGTTGCATGTCCGCACTACTTCAGAGCCGCGGATAGGGTCGTTCTTGGTCGCATGTCCGCACGATGGTGACGAGGAGCTGCTATGTTCTCTTTTCACGTCTAAAAAGATACTGCTCTGCTCGACGGGCCATTGTTCTCCGGAGGGTCGAAAGCCCCCCGGATGCAGGGTACGGACAGAAGGCATTTGCTTTTAATTGTCGAGAGAGAATCTCTACGAACTTAGGAATTGATCTCTATTCTCATCGCTTGAGCAACAACCTTAGAAGTTACTCAGGTCAAACAAAATCTCCAGACACAGCTGATGGCTTTCTCTCTCACGCGTGAAGCCCCATTTCCCTCTCCGAGCACCCACACGCCGGCAAATCGTTTTCAAAGGTTCTTTCATCATGATCTTCATTTGACCTAAATACATGTCTTAACATCATTGTTGAACCACACACAAATAAGCGGGTAAACCTTAGATAGTCAAAAAAGTTCCACATGAGACGAAACAACCCCGAATACATCATATTTCATCTTCTGAATCGTCTTCATTGGCTGTATTTGTATTTCCGTTACTCCCTGAGTTATCCCTACTAGTAACTTCTGGTGGCGCCACTGCAGGTTCAAGAGTTCTACTTGCAACAGGAAGCGTTTCACGCACTTCTTTTCTCCTCATCTCGATCCAACCTTGCCATCGATTGTCTGCATCAGAAAAAGGCTTTTCGTCCCCTGTTTTCAGTGCTTCCCCTATCCAAGCTGCAAATGCCGCAGCGTCGACTTCAGGGAGTATGTCCCAGTTGGGACTTTTTTCACGCCGCAACCATTTGAAATCTTTGACGTCGTCCCAGCGATTGACAGAAGCAGTACTACCTTTTTTATTTGCTGCTCCTTCGACCATCTTCACTGCTGTTGAATTATTGTCGTTCATATTCGTAACAGAAGAAGTATTTTTATCTACCGGTGCAAAGAAAATCTCCTTGCAATCCTCAATAATCGGACCACTGGCAATGTGTACACGAAAGAGGCAGGCTGTAGAGGTGTGGATGCGAAGCTGCTGTAAATTGGCGAATTCGAAAACGCTGTCCTGTGAGTCGTGGAGCAAGCAACTGCCCCCAATCTTGTCGGCCACAACGATGACGCTGGAAAGGACGTTGCGGACCTGGATGATTTGAAGGCAGTTTTCTTCTCAGTGAAGAAGTACGAAAGACATGATATCAGGTTTCTTCATAACAGTCCATGGGAACAGAATTCTATGATCATGATGAGAGAGGTACTACGTCCTATAAAAAATGTAGCAAGAAATAGAAAATCAAGTGTAGTACGTGCAAAACTCCCACAATGCCCTTGACTGTCACCACACAGTTTCTCAACTCCGCCAGATCTACATCATTGCCGTCGTCTACGGTGATCTGCAAGGACTCTCCCTTTTTGTTGGATACTACTGTGTTTGGCACTGCTGGGACCACTGCTGTTGCTGAGCTTGCAGCAATGGAACCTCGCCCCTTTTCCTCATTTTCCACCGCCGTCTTCTCCTGTTCTTCTCTCCTCGGCTGCCTCACAAATCGAAATTTCTTAAACGGTCGTCTTGCTCGAATGTCAGCTAGCAGAGTCCTTGTTCGACGATGCAGTCGTTCTACATGATACTTCGCGACTAGTTTTTCTGAGTCGTCACTGAGAGCCGAATTCATGCGCACTTTTAGCGCTCACCCTTATCCGTCTTGAGACTCATCCCAGGGCCCTCTTCCCCCTAAAGAGCCTCTCTCCTAGGACGAGGACTTCTCTGAAGATGGACCATTAGGGGAAGCCTTAATACTTGTAGTGCCAGGACTTTCCGCTCCAACTCGTTCATGTCCTTGCATCTTCGAACAGAACCTTCAAGTTCAGCCAGTTCCGACTCGACTTGGCTGTCGGCAGATTGGGGGACGGTCATTTTCTAGGTAGTTTAGACTATAATGATGTGGAGGAAACAGCGATCAACATACGAGTTCTTCTTGTTTTCAATCGGTGCATTAAGATTAAGATTACAAATTTTTCGATTAGTTCGACGCACCAGCAGCGGTGGGCGCAGAGAAAGCAAACATTTCACAGACACAAAGAGAAAGCTATAGTTCTTCTTGTTTTCAATCGGTGCATCTGGAAAGGAGTCGCGGTGAGAAATTTCAACGCTCAAACCTTTTCGAATTCAATCCACAAACGTAAGAAAAAGAAAAAAGTATCAAGTCGTTTTCAATGGCTCAAGTGCAGACTCGCGAATTCAAGGCTCAAGCACAACTGTCGCTGCTATGTACCTTCGCCAAACAAGGCAACACCAGGTACAGCAACAAATAGTAAAGTCTGCAGGTTCCACCTCATGTTGAGCGAGGGAAGTGTGGCACACCACTGTGCCTGTGTGAATCACAATAAGAATTGCGTGCAAACAAGTTGATGCTCGTCGGAATTTTAATCCGCAAGTTCGAATCAATTTCGTAGCATAGTCTTTTCATGCAAAGTAGAAGTTGAGTATCTTTGACTCCATGTAATGAGATCCAACGTTTTTTGACGAGGAAACATGACCTCCTTGTTATAGTATTAGGACCATGCAGCGGTCCTCATCTATAGGATTCCTCATGATTTAATAGGGTGCCTTTACCTAATATTGTAGATTGAATTACAAAAATTAAAACCACTCTTCATATGGAAAATTCGTCGAAAAAAAAGCGAAACGATCTTTACACGTGAATTGCGGACACACAGTTGATACCTAAATTCGTTGTGCTACCGAAACGACCACAATCCCTTGTTGCTCATCTTTAATTGACGCTTATGGAGGTTGGTTATCGACGGATCCATTATCAGGGGGAGAAGTCTAAAAAGTAGCTGTTTGTATATTTTGTAAATAAAAAGTTGTACAGAACAAGCATGTCTTCACACGAGCACACAATGCGCGCCCCCGCTTCTAATCATACATGCACTGCAGATATGCACTATGGCAGGAGGGGGGGCCTCTACGAATTAGGAAGATAATTGCATAATCGCGCCTCGTGGTGCGCCTGAAATTTCAATGCTGCGTCTTCGAGATCTCCATTTGATGGACTCTCTAAAAAAAGCTTTGATTTTAGTGTAGTTGCGCACCAGTGTAGTTCATGCAACTGGTATAGAAGATAGCGACACTTGTGAGAGAGTACTAAATATTATTTCTCTACTAATCATGCTGCGAGACAATATTAGGAAAATATATGTTTGCTTATCTACTATCGCGACGGAAAGATTAACTGGTGCTTGTACTTGACTGCTTTTTCTATCATCCGTACGGTACAACATGATACACGGATATACGTAGTATTCTCCATCGTGTGAAAAAGGTGCTCTTGCCTAAGCTGCTCTTAACCCGAAATCATCTTCAACTGCGCTAAGAATTATCATGTACGAAAATTCGTCTACTTGTTACAGATAGTCCTCAAAAAGCACAACTACCCTGACCTCTCTACGAGTAAGTACAACGAAAGAACATGCTCTTCACGCTTCCAGAAGCTCGATCTTATAGATGTTGACCTTCTCGGAAAAGAATTCGTCCGCAGGGTCCAGCCCACCGGACAAGAGACCTTCGCCAACGCCAAATCCGTACTCGGCGCATGCCTCGACGAATGCATCCCATACTGCTGGGTCGCGTTCCTGTGGTGGAATTATGTACGCTTCTGTTACACTACATTGTGGCAAGAACATCAGTTTCGCCTCTTTTGGTAATTTGTTTTCTTGCTAAGCAATGCATGCGCTATTGAAGCATCATCAATACCTTCTGTCCTATCCAAATCTGCAATTTCTCAAGGTCTAGTTTTCCACTATCGACTAGCGCTCTGAGCACTTTCAAAAACTGGTGCACAAAAGGATGGGCCCATATCACGTCAGTGGCGATAATAGTGTCGATGGCAAAGGTTAGAGGTGGAGGGATAGAGAGGGAGATAAAATAGCCCCTGGGTAGGGAAATTGATCGTGATTTTAGTTTCATCCTGTTCTCTTTGATGATAGATTTGAGTCAGTGAGCCTTAAGCTAGGCAAGGCCGGGAGCCACGTCTCGGCAGGCTGCTGCCAGTCCAAAGTGGTGTAGGAACAGGCGCCTTGCTTCGAAGAAACCAGCCGTGTGTGTTGATTAGAAGCGTCCCGAAAGAATACTTATCGCCTTACCATCATCTACTTAATACCTAAACTTATGAAATAGAAATCAAGTGCAGGAGAGTTGGAGTACTCAACAACGGCATATACCTCCCCTCCATAATCATGGTAATATTCAGTCGCAGCTTGTGTTCCACGTCCGCGTTTTCCCTGTCACTGAGGATGACTTGGTTTCCGCACATGGCACACGCTAGACCACCAACACCAGTACCACTGCCTAGTTTTAGAGCTCAACACAATTCATTATTCTTGCCTTCATTTCTTCAGAATCCTAAAAAGGAAACTAAAGAAAATGAGCGTTGCAAACGAATTGCATACTTATCGGGCCTTAATAGCTCCAAGACAAGTTTGTGTCGGAACTCCTCGTTTTTCTCCACCCATTTCGCAAAGATCATGCCAGCATCCCAAACTCGCAAACCGGTCTCACCAGCATCAGTGGGATGTCGCGAATTGAGAGGAGGTTAGAAGAGGAAAAGTTGTCACTACAGTGGAAGTTTAATAAATTGCTTGTAGGGATACACGTACACCCAGGATATGAGGGAAAAGGAAAACTAACCGGTAGAAGTTTCATAAAGAAGATAAGACCGACGAATCGGAAACTCTAGCTAGGTAGGTCGTGCCGTCCAAGTATTATATCGATCGATTTTAGCAACATCCCAAGTTGTAGAAATAATATGGCGCGATCTTTGAAGATTCATATTGTTGCATGATTGATTCATTCGATTGATTAATATGCCTGGCAAGAGCTCATGTTAATTGTTCCAGATCATAATACAACGGACACCCATTGATCTTGAATTCTCCCTTCATGAAGTCGACGTCCATGGCTAGGAGGCGACTGGCGGGAACCTTCGCTTGGTACACTACTTTAGCACCTGGAGGAACGTTCTGGGAGTCGCCTGGTGCTCCTTCTGTTGGTATGAAGAAAGGAAAAAGTGCACGAACTTGGTCGGATACTCAAGAAAGTGTTAGTGCACGTATAGCTACTTTCCTGTACTTATAAATCCTACTTCCTACACTCAAGAAATTGGCTAGGATTCAAGTAGGAAAGTAGCTATACATCTTTCTTGAGTGTAGGAAGTAGGACTTTTTCCTTTCATAGTTGGCGTTGGGCTTTTTGCCTGCGATGGCCTCCAGGACATGAGCTGAGGCATTTTTATCGACGTTGAAAAGCCAGAACCCAAAACGCGGTTTTCTGGTTTCGGAACCATGATGTTCGTCGAGGTGGCAGGGGTTTTAGAAGACTGACAAAAATACACCTATAATAGGACCTACGGTATAGGATAAAATAGACTTTTGAAACCACAATTTGAAGATGCTTGTTCTTGTTGAATGCAAATACTATTTGTGCATAACTGGAAGCATCGGCACGCTGTTGAGTTTTGCAGGAGTCAATAATGGCTTGCCTGTGTTGATACTTGTGTCGAAAATCTTCGAGGGTAAGGCTTTCCCGGGAACTAATTTCGGCTCAATCCGAGGCGTATCTGGTACGAAGGTGGTGAATCCTGCTACACCTTTCAATTGCGGGCCTGCGCTGGTAATGAGGTTTTAGAAGCGACGTCAGGAGGTCTTGCTATACTCACATCAAGTCTTCTATACAGCAAGGTTTTAAGAGGTTGATTGATTGACTGATGTGCCTGGCAAGAGGTCGTTGTTGGAAGCAGTCTATTTCTTCTTTTCTTCCTTTTTTGCTCCTTTTTTGCATTTTTTCTCATGTTTTAGGACACTCTCCTCGACGTCGACCATACTTCAAATAAAGCGTAAGTAATTATCTACTAGGCCGCTAGAACATCAACTTCAATGACCACATCTTAACTCAATCCCGGACCAAAACCGCCACCAACTTTCAACACTGGCGCCGCCGTATTCGTTCCTAGGATACCACTGGATAACCAACCCTTTTTTTTCCTCATTGGTAAGGGCGATGGGGAGTAGACCTCCTCTTCGATTAGAGCGAAGGATAAATTCACCTGCTAAATGCACAGGAGAGCAGTAGACCTCCTCTTCGATTAGAGCGAAGGACTGTTGATCTCTTAACTCGACATCCGCATCCTTCGGAACATCTGCGTGTTCTTCAGGTGACGAGATTCCTAGATTTTTACTCCTTGTACGTGGAGAGATGTACTCCAAAGCTGCTGAGGTTTCCAAAGCTTGCGAATCTGTCGAGAGTTTACTGCCGTTGGCACTTGCTTCGAGAAGATTAGAGAAGAAGGATTCGTATCCTCCTAAACGTGGCAACGTATCATTTCCTGAGCGTATCATTAAAAATTACAATACACCTACGTATTATTCCTGTGGCAACGCATTATGAGAAATTACAATTCACCTAAATGGAACGCCCGTAGAATTTTCCATAACCACTCCCTCCTCTGGCAACATCGCACCTCGTGGACGCGTCGGACTATAAAGCGGGCCTAAAGCATTATGGACTGTATTCTCTACCTCCGTTCCATCTGCAGCGTGGACTGGTTTTACGCCAGAAAACCTAGAGTAAGTGATGATGATGAAAACCTAGAGTAAGTGATGACAATGATAGCAGTGGTAGTACTATGTACCAAATCACGAGGTAGAGAAGAATGATGACGATGGCGACGATGATGATGATGATGATGATGATGATGTTAGTCGATTCAGATTGGCCCTACGACCTCCCTGAGTCTCTTTTGAGTAAGTATTTTAAGCATGATCATGGTCTTGATGGATCTTCCCATAACTTATAAGTACTTAGTCTTCTCACCCGAAAAATGTTCCAACTAGGTAGTTCCAACTAACTACCTTCCGGTTGACGAGAACGGCTGCAGCTTGGGCATAGCGAGGCCGAAGCCGCCCATGCTTCGATCCGACGTTGGCATGGTTTTCCGCTTGGTAGATGATGTGTTATCCCTTTGCACGTAACGAAGGAGATGTCTTCAAAAAATGAATTATCCCTTTGCACGTAACGAAGGAGTGAGACGATGTCTTCAAAAAATGAAAGTTGTGTCCGCACAGCTCTATTATTTGCTTTTCGGCATTCAATTTTTTTCCAGCAGTAGATTACCAACTACACTTCACCTACAACGAGTCGTGATGTCCTCTTGTTTTTTTCATCTCATCTGACAGTTCATCCGCTTTTTTTTTCGATTTCCGCTTTCACGATAGACTCCTCATCTGAAGCTTTTTTAGTACACAGTCTAAAACCTTTCTCTACACACTATCAGAAGTTACGACTACTTCTCTTGCTCCCTTGGTCATGGTCATGCGCTTCCCCGGTGACACCCCTCCCTGGTCAAGTGTGACGCAAATCTTACACAGAGCAATGGAGGCCGCCTTTCTGCAGGGAAGCAACTGTTCTTCTCTTTGAAAACTTTCTGTAGAAACAGCATCTTCTCTCATCAAATCCAATTTCTCGGCACGTGGTCGAACAAAAGCAGCTACCTCCAGTGCAACAAGAGCTACTCGGCATGCATGACTTTCAGGCACACACTCAAGGTGATGCGTTTTGTTATATAATTTTCTCATCAACATGTTGTTTGAGGCACAATATTTAAGCAAAAGAACGAAAAATCTTGCACTTTCACACAACTTCACAAGTTTCAAAGGATACCGCAAGATATCTGATGCCATGGGCTGTTCAAAAGATACCGAAAGATGATGGTGGTACCGCTCTACCATTTCTGTTCGGTGAGATATTACCTAGCTCGAGGAAGGCTGGTGTAACTCTACGTCAATCTTCATCTCTGCCTATGCCCTTGTTATAGAACAGGCTATACCTAAACTTAATATTCCCTTGTTATCTGATTGTGTCCTGGAACTCAGCACCGTGAGCTTCCCGGACCAGTCTCCTAAGTCGTGATAGAGTCGTGTTCTCATCGACCATTACGAATCCGGCGGGGCTTAGAGAAATAAGAACTTAACGCAGTTGTACTAGAAGAGTATCTACTTCTACTGTAAAGTTTAAGCGAGCATGGATTTTCGATAAGAAGCAGGAACTACGTTTCTTATTTCAAAATTGGCAGGACAGAAGGAGGAACTGCCGTTTACCAACTAAATTCAAAGAATAACTATTCAGTTAAGTACTACTTAAATTCAAATCCGCCCGTCTGTCGTAGGGCGATTTTTTTTTCGCGGATAAAAACCCAAAAAACACGACTAGCAACCTCTACTGGCTTCGGCGATGGTTCTTTCTTCTCCTCCTTCATTTCCTCGTCCACTAGATTGCAGAAGCGCTGCGTCAAGGCTTTCAGACTGTCGAAGCCGGTGACTCGGAATAAGTGGTCCACTTTGAAGATGGAAATGGATTAGATGATGTTGAAGTTGATGTTCTGCTATACACAGCAGTAGCATAGTGTTTAGATTATCGGGGATGGGCACTAGTTAAGCTGCGCGCGTCTCTCTGTTACAGACTGAGAGCTCCCTATGAGGCTGGTACTGAAGTGGTGAGAGATGACCGCGATGGTGTGTGGAAATGCGAGGAGTGAGGAGGAAGAAACCCAAGATGGGAAGGGGGAGAAGTAGTAGATCTCATGGAGATTCTGAGGACCCCTGAGCGATTTGGGCACGAACCTTCCACGCGACCCAACTGAGAGGACCAAAGGGGCCACTGAAGGACGAGGGGACGAAGCTGGAATGACTACCATCTTGCCGAGGGTTGATGGCCTTAGTTTGGTGGACTGGTGCTGGCTGTGAAGTGATGCGTACTCGTATCCTGGTGCTGTGATATACTTAGCCGCGTTGGTACTCTCAAACTGGACAGCCATGCGCTCCCTGTTGCTTCTTGCCCTTCTCGTCACCTACTGGGCGGCCCCCGGCTCAGCTGGCAGAGCCAACTTCGTGCGCCGTAGAGTCCAAGAGGCTCCGGCATGGTACTGGGGCCGTAGGCATGTCCACACCCGTTCCGGATGCATCTCTTCTGATCATTCGCGAAGCAAGTGATCCCCTGAGGCCATAGTGGATCTTTCGGAGGAAGGAAGTCTTTCGCTTATATCGCCCCCGATGAGGGCCTATCGGAAACCAACGCGGGAAAGTGGTGCGCCATTTTTCCCAGTAGTTTCACACGGAAGAGCGGCTCGCCCGCTTCTATTCAGCTTAATTAGCGAGAAAGCAAGGGCCCCGGCACTGGCTGGGGTGCTTGCGCTTGGGTTCTCCGTGGCCGTCGCTCGTCGACAGGCAGAGGCTGGCGCTCTTAATGGAGAAAGAGCGGAAACTTTTTGCCATTAGTTCCCACGGAAGTGGGGCCTTCTCGCTTCTATCAACCACTCAGCCGGCCACCCCGCTTGCCTTCTGCGAGTCTGAAACTGTCAGGGCTTAGAAGCCGCGCGGCATTCAATACCCAAAGGCTTCAGACTCGTGAGAAGTCCCTCCCGTGTGGTCATCCTTTCCCTTTCCCTTCTGCAAGTCTGAAACCATGACGGACTGGACACCTGTCGACCCATCGCGGGCCGGCTACTCGTCTCGGCAGCCCTGCGCCGCGTCTGCTGTCGACTTATCGCAGGCCGGCTGCTAGGCAGCTCCGCGCCGCGCGTCCGTCCTCGACTTATCGCGGGCCGGCTGCTAGGCGGCTCCGCGCTGCGCGTCTGTTGTCGACCTATCGCCGACCGGCTGCGAGGCAGCTCGGCGCTGCGCGTCCGTTCTCGACTTATCGCGGGCCGGCTGCTAGGCAGCCCGGCGCTGCGCGTCTGTCGTCGGCTTATGTTGTCGCGGAATTCGCGGCTTCGACAGGGGGCGGCTTTTTAAGGGGACCACCTTCCCAACCTGAAGAGCGTCCCACTCTTAGACGAGTTGCGAGGACTGCGCGCCATCTAATGGCGGAGACAAGGCCCCAGGCACCAGCCTCGCGACAGGCGAGCAAACGAGCGCACGATCGCAGACAGCCAAAGCGCCGAAAAAGGGCGACCGCTTAAGGGGATCACCTTCCCAGCCCGAAGAAGGTCGCACCATTTAGGGAATTGCGAGGACTGCGCGCCACCCAATGGCGGGCGCAAGGCCTTAGGCATCAGCCTCGACCCGCAAACAACCGAGCGCACGATCGCGGACAGCCAAGGCCACGAAAAGAGGCGGCCCCCCGAGGGGGCACCCTCCCAACTTGAAGAGGGTCGCGCCCTTTAGGGAGCTGCGAGGACTGCGCGCCACCTAATGGCGGGCGCAGGGTCTTCGGAACCGGTTTCGCGACAGGCAGACAAGACCACGCCGCGGAATCTAAGGCGTGGCCTACGCTGGCCTCGACTGAGTTCCCAGCAGGGAGAGGAACCGGCGGAACCTGGTGGGGATCTGACGCGAATCGCGAAGGAGTTACAAAGGGCCAGCGCCTTCCCTGCATTAGTTTCCCGATAGAGGGCGGCCCCGTCTTCAAGGGAGGGAACCGTCCTGGACCAGTCGCAGCCCCTTCCTTGAAGACAGACGGGCCGGGAATGCAGTGGGGGCCTTGGTCTTCATCTGCAAAAGGCGGCCGAGCGATGTGGACGCTGGCCCCTGTGCAGTTTGGTTCGGATCGCCCTCGAACTATAGCGCCCTGGGGGTTTGCTTTAGGTCGCCCTCTATATTGTACTACGGGAAACCAATGAAGAAAAATGGTTACTGGTTTTCACCACTAGTATCCGCGGAAATTGTATTGAGGCTCTACCGCTTCCACCTGATGCTACTAGCGAGAAAGCCGGAGTGTTGGGGGCAATTGAAGTCAGGCGCCGCCTGCGGCACGCAGTTGAAGTCGGTCGCCGACTTATCGACTTATCGCGGGCCGGCTACTAGGCAACTTTGCGGCGCGCGTCTGTTATCGACTTATCCACTTATCGCGGGCCGCCTAGTAGGCAGCTTTGCGGCGCGTGTCTGTTATCAGCTTATCGACTTACCGCGGGCCGGCTACTAGGCAGCTTTGCGATGCGCATCCGTGATCGAGTCATCGCGGGCCGGCTACGGGGTACTGGGCAGTCTGGCGAGGCGCGTCTCTTATCGACTTATCGCGGGCCGGCTGCTAGGTCTAGGCAACCTCGCCAAGACTGCTCGCGGGCGAGGTTTGACGCATCAGCTTCGCAACCCGGAAACAAACGGCCGCCCGATAGCACGCTGTCAGAGCTTCGAAGAAAGGCGACCTTTTACAAGAATTACGCCCCCCCCTCGAAGAAAGTCGCACTGTTTAGGTAGTTGCCGAGACGCGCTCGCGATCTAATGGCGGAAGCGAGGTGTTACGCATCAGGCTCGCAACCCGGAAACAGCCGGCCGCTCGATAGCGCGCAGCCAGAGCTTCGCAAAAGGGCGACTTTTTAAAAGCACCACCTTCCCCCCTTGAAGAAAGTCGCACTCTTCAGGTAGTTCCCAAGCCTGCTCGCAATCTAATGGCGGGGGCGAGGTTCTACGCATCAGCTTCGCGCGGCAGGCGAACGCGCTGCAAAATCGAACGCGCGACCCGCGCTAACATCAGCTAAGTTCGCAGCATGCGCCGGAACCGCCGGAAACCAATGGAGATCCCACGCGAATCGCGAGCGAGATCCAGCGGGCCGGTGTCCTCTCTGCGTTGGTTTTCCATAGGACGGCATAGAGGGCGAGCCCGACCGCAAGCGCGCGCCCTGGGAGAAACTAGTGGGGAGAGAGCGACGGCCCGGCTCTCCCATGAGTTTCCACTGCAGTGGCGACTTTCGCGCTTCTATCATACACCTGGAGCGAGAAAGCCAGGACCTAGGGGGGGGGTAGGGTCGAGAAAGGGACCCCCTGGGCTTTGCGGGATTTCTAGTCGTGTAGGCAATTTGGTTTCGCTTCTTTACCATTTTGAAAACGTAAACAGAGGAGGCGCCAGCCTGTGTTAACTTCGCCTAATTTAGCACGACAGCACAACTGTGACCGCAGTGAGCACATCCACCAAAAATAAACCGGAGCAGCCTGGAGGAGGAACTTGAGAAGCACGCGATAGCGCTAGCACCAGCAGCGTGGCAATGGCTTGACTGTCAGCAACTTTTTTAGGATTCAGCTGACTGAGATCACAACAACAAAGGGCAGCGGCCTCGCGCATTAGCTTGATTATGAGTTTCCTCTCCCCTGTTCACTTAGTTGGGAGCTTTGATGTGGCGGACGAGGGGCAGCAGCGTTCCCCTGGTTGTGCGTCTCCGTCTTAGTCTTAACCTCAAGAGGGACGCGGAAAATGTCCACAAGACGGCGAGGGGGAAAAGCTCCTTCGGCAGAAGTTCGCAGAGCTTGGCAAAAAATGCGGCAGAAAGTCCAAGAGGAAGGGGCGGCAAAAGTATTCTTGGTGGCAGAAAATGCGGCAGAAAGTCCAAGAGGGGGGCAGAAAATGTTCCCGATTGTCAGAAAATGCGGCAGAAAGTCCAAGAGGGGGGCAGAAGGTGCCCCCGGTTGTCAGAAAATGCGGCAGAAAGTCCAAGAGGGGGGTGGAAAGTGTTCCCGGGTGGCAGAAAGTCAAGGAGGGGGGTGGAGAATGTTCCTTCCCGGGTAGGCAGAAAACGCGGCAGAAAGTCACAGAGGGGGGCGGAAAGTGTTCCCGGGTGGCAGAAAGTCACAGACGGGGGCGGAAAGTGTTCCCGGGTGGCAGAAACTCTACCAGGGGAGTGGGAAACGCTCCCGGGTAGGCAGAAAATGCGGCAGAAAGTCCCAGAGGGGGGCGGAATAGGTTCCCGGTTGACACCAAATGCGGCAGAAAGTCAACCAGGGGGGCGGAAAATGTTCCCCCGGCAGCAGACCTGGCAGAAAATCAACGAAGGGAGCAAACCGGGCAGAAAATCAACCAAGGGGGCGGAAAGTGTTCCCCAGGCGGCAAAACCTGGCAGAAATTCAACAAAGGGGCGCGGAAAATGTCCCCGAGGAGGTGGCGAAGAAACCTGGCAGAAAATCAACCCGGGGGGCGGAAAATGTTCCCCAGGCAGCAAACCTGGCAGAAAATCAACAAAGGGGGGCGGCAAAACGTTCCCGAGGCGGCAAGCCTGGCAGAAAATCACTTAGGGGGGCAGAGAGTGCTCCCGAGGCAGCAAACCTGGCAGAAAGTCAACCAGGGGGGTGGAAAATGTTCCCCAGGCGGCAAACCTGAAAGAAAGCCGACCAAGGGGGTGGAACCACAGGAGCCCCAAGAGTCACAGGAACCACAGGAGCCACAGGATACCCAAGCACGAGGCCCCGGCAGGAAAAGGACCCGCCTGGCGATCGCTTGGCCCCAGATAATATCCGCACTGGAAATCCCGCAAAGCCAAGGGGTTTCTATTCTCAAGCTTAAGGGTGGGGGGGGGTCGGTAGTTGATGGTCTTCGGCTTGCAAAAGAGAAGGCCAACGGACTGCCCCAAAGGCTGCGCCCCCTCCCATTGGTCTGGAACCTGTGGGATTTCCAAACCCCTGGACTCTTTTTAAAC